CTGAATCCCTCCTCGGGGGTGAGAAGGGCGGGTTACAAATGCAGGAAATAAATAAATAAATAAATAAATAAATAAATAAATAAATAAATAAATAAATGTCAGCAATTGCTACAAGGTAAACTGCAGATATGATTTCTCTAATGTGTTAATATAAGGGAAAAGAAATGCAATGGTTCTTTATTTGATTCTTTTGACTATGAGAAAAGATCCATATACATTTTTCATCTGTCATCTCAAACTTCATGTTACTTCAAAGCAATCCTTCCAAAACCATGGTATGGGTCTCAAAATATCCACTCTTGATCAAGCCTAATTTCCAGAATAGAAATGAACACATAATCTATGTATATTAACAACAACAATCTAACTTGCAATATTAAAATTAAAAGGGGAATATGTAAACAAACAGACTTTTGGAAAATATGGGGAAAATTTATCGAGTATGTGTTTAATGAGGGAAAGGGGTATCAGCCAGCAAGAGAAACAATGATATTTTGGAATGGTGAAACAACATGAGTTGGTTGGTCCTGGTGGAGGGAGCACAAACTAAGGGTAAGAGGAAGAGGGCGAAAATGGTATAATAATAATTATAAAGAAATACAATATGTATAACTGGATAAAAGGTGTGTGATAGAGTTATATGATCAAAGAAGTTTTTGATGTTTATTTACTGTTAGATTGTATATAATATGAAAAAATATTTAAAAAATATTAAAAAAAATAAAATAAATGAACACAAGAAATCACCAAACAACAACAACAACAACAATCAATTTGCTTCCCCTGGAAACATTGTGGATGCTCCTTTCCCCAATAAATGGATGTGACACAACCCTTATTATTGGAGAAGATATTGAGAATATGACGTTCATAAGGAACAGATTAGGCACAGGCTGATTCAGACACAGTTCAGACGGAAACTGGGGCTTGACTCCAAAACAGACTTGGCAGATAACCTGCTTCAGCCACATGGATGGGGAGAAAAACAGGAGAGGGTAGGTGGCAAATGAGAACCCAACAGCATCTGTCACTTTTGGGTGAACGGAACTGGCAAAGCAACCCAAGCATTGTTGCGGTAGATTCATCCAAGAAGCCTTTGTCTTCTGAAAAGTAGATCCAGAAAGACCAGAGCAGATGGGACCAAGCCATTTGATAAGTAATGCTTCATTCTCCCACTTGTGTAATTCCACAGAACCTTTGTTTTTATTTTGGGGAAAGGGCTCTCTAGTAGTGATGAGGTGGATAAATCAGAGGTGTTTTATACCATTAAGGAAGACTTATGAATAGCTTCTTACAGTCCCGCCTGCTGGAGAATAAGACCCATCCATTGCCAACCAGCCAGAGAAGCTTTTGTAAATTAAGGGTTGCATCTCTTCCTTTCAGGCCACCAATGCTCACCAATGGACTATTTAAGGAATGTATATGCTGGCAGGCAAGTAAAAAAAGCCAACCACATTGTGACCTAGTAACTTTTGTATATTTCTTTTTGCAGTGCTCTCACACAGACACACATATATAACTAATAAAACATTCAGGCTTGTATGCATTCCTTCCATCCTTGGAATTGCCAAGCAAGCACAGAATTTGACCTTTGGTACAGAGTTTATCATCTTGAATATATCAGCTGCCTTTCCCTTAAAGCTGAGTAGATACATTTGAAAACATATGGAGAATATTTTTGATGTTTCAAGAACCCAGTTATCACTCTTGCATGGACACTATCTGTGTATAGTGTCCATTGGAGCATTGCAGCACCCCAAAATACCCGGGAGTCACTCTGGACCACGCGCTGACATAAGAATCACTGCTTGACTATCAAGCAAAACGTGGGTGCTAGAAACAGTATAGTGTGAAAGATGACTGGCACAACCTGAGGATCACAACCAGATACAGTGAAGATATTTGGCCTTGCGCTTTTCTACTTTGCTGCTGAGTAAGCAAGCCCACTTCTCACCATGCTAAAATAGTGGATGTGGCTCTAAATGAGACACCCCGCATTATCACAGGATGTCTATGCCCTACAACACTGGAGAAATTGTACTGTTTAGCTGGTATTGCACCACCTGACATCCACTGGGAAGTAGCAGCCAATAATGAAAGGACCAAGGCAGTGACATCTCTGGCCCATCCCCTGTTTGGATATCAGCCAGCATAAAGAAATAGTTTTCTAAGACTTACATAGAAACCCACAGGAACACTTCAGCAAGCAAGAGTCCAAAAGTGGCAGGCTAAATCCCAGAACCTCAATCCATGGCTGATAACAAATGAGAGACTCCCCCTGGGCACACAGAGGACTGGGTGACTTGGAAGGCGCTGAAGAGAAATGCAAAGCCAACCTTAAGAAATGGGGCCACAAAGTGGAGTCCATGACATGTGAGTGTGGTGAAGAGTAGACCACCGATTACAATGCAATCCGAGCCATGCACAATGGAAGACCTAGGAGCCCCCAGTGGCACAGTGGGTTAAAACCCTGTGTCGGCAGGACTGAAGACCGACAGGTCGCAGGTTCAAATCCAGGGAGAGGTGGATGAGCTCCCTCTATCAGCTCCAGCTCCTCATGAGGGGACATGAGAAAAGCTTCCCACAAGGATGATAAAAACATCAAATCATCTGGGTGTTCGCTGGGCAACGTCCTTGCAGACGGCCAATTCTCTTACACCAGAAGCTACTTGCAGTTTCTCAAGTCCCTCCTGACATGACAAAAAAAATGGAGGATCTTCTTATAGCAACAATAGAGACACTCCAAGTGGCCAGCTACTGGTCAAAGGACATTTAATATAATGCCAATACCTGAAATCTATAATGCTGTATGACATGCTATGTCCAAAACGTGTAGAAAAGATCAGTGGAAGGACTAATTTTGTGGGCCGATGCTCACAGAACATTACTGCAAATAAGAAAGTTTCGAGTGCTCATTTATTATGAAGGAAAGGGTCTGGAACCTGGACTGACCGGCTGCCCAAAGAACATAAAAAAAAGACTATCCCATTGAGAAAGAGAGATCAAAAGTGAGAAAGACTGAGAGAAACAAGCATTGATTTAAAAGAGAAGGCCACATTTCTCAGAATGCAAAATTCCTGAAAACAGGTCAGTCTGATTAACTCAAAACTGCATGTGAGAGCAGCATGTCATATTCTTTTAACATTTCCCAGATGAAAACTAGGGCACATGTGGCCAAGCTACATCAGAGTGTGGTCAAGATGGTAAATGTTATGAATGAGGAAGAAGCACACAAGCCAGGACAGGCGGCAGCAATTTGCATTGTCCGGGGTGGGCAAGATCCAGCCTCCTCTCCTTTTCGCAGGACATATTAAAAGCAGCTGGAATACAGGCGAGAGGATTAACCAGGGCTATCCCTGCCAAACCTGAACAGTTAGGAGGCTATGGCACAGCAGGTTAATCACCAGCTGCAGCTGCAGTAACATCTCTGGCCCATTCAGCCAGCACGCCAATGCCTTAAATAAAGAAATAGTTTTCTAAGACTTACATAGATACCCGCAGGAACACTTCAACAAGCAAGAGTCCAAAAGTGGCAGGATAAAACCCAGAACCTCAATCCATGGCTGATACCAAATGAGAGACTTCCCTTGGGCACACAGAGGACTGGGTGACTTGGAAGGTGCTGAACAGAAATGCAAAGCCAACCTTAAGAAATGGGGCCACAAAGTGGAGTCCATGACATGTGAGTGTGGCAAAGAGCAGACCACTGACTACAATGCAACCCGAGGGTGAGCTCTTGACCTTTAGCACAGCTCCCTGCCCATTGAGCAGATCAAAAAAAGCAATGTGAGTAGATAAATAGGAACTGCATTAAAGTGGGGAGGTATTTCAAGCACGGCGTTTCAATCAGAAAAAGGAGGAAGAAAATGGAGCAACAGCACTCCTTGTGGCCAGAACCGAGTACAGCCTCCAAAGATGCCGAAAGATGGAAAATGTTGCAACTCAGAGTAAGCTTCACCTTGCTTCCAAACACCACCACATAAGAACTGTGGTTTGATAGTTTATTGAGGAAAAATCCAAGTCAAAATAAAAAATAAGCATTGCAAAGTTCCAAATATTCGGGTAAAATTCAGAATACAGTTCCAAAGATCTTTAGGTAAAAACAAGGTACAAGCAAAGACAATTGCCCCAAGAATCACAATGCAATAAATCCTAAGCGTGCTGCTTCCCAGCCTAAGGTAATCCATGTAGCTTTCAGGCTAAGAAGCTATGTTGAACTGACGCTTTCCCTTAGTTTGCAAGAAGCCGAAATACCTTTCTAACATGAAAACATTATGCTCTCACCAACATGAAAGCATTGCGATGACCTTGGCCCGAGCTGGTTTCCCGTCTGCCGGCCAGGCGAGAACTCCGCCTGCACTTTCAGTATCAGCGTGGGAAAGAGGCAAAAGCCTCCCCACCTGTTCGCTATTTCCTTCATTAAAATTCTTTTCTTCTGAGAGCCGCTGTGTTGTTGACTCTCCACTATCTGTGGGAGCCTCAGAAAAAGACCTAGAAGCAGGCCCAGAGATCCGAGGCACAGAAAAAGAGCCAGGAATCTGAATCCCATCAGCCTCATCATCAGGGAACATCTCAGCCACAACAGAAAAAGCCTATATAATACCTCTATCTGTTGTCAGTCTTGTCATTGTATAATTGGCATTGAATGTTTGCCATATATGTGTTCTGTGATCTGCCCTGAGTGCCCTTTAGGGTGAGAAAGGTGGAATATAAATACTGTAAACAAGCAAACAAACAAATAAGGCATGTATCATTTTATATTATGTGGTTTTTCTCCCAATTCAGGAGTATGAATATTGAATTGCTAAAGTTCACAAACACACTTCAAATGCCATGTGTCACCATGACCAGATCAGACACCTGGAGGAACACAAAACAGCTCTCATTCTAAAACTCAAGTCTTTTGGCCCCTATAGCACATTGTAGGATTGTTCTCTAGTGAAGCATCAGCTATGCACTGAACTGTATAGGTTCTCCAAAGGCCTCATCCTTTTCTGTACCTGAATGGTTTGCTGTCCGGGTCTGTGTCTTTGAATCCCATCTCTTCAAGTTTGCAGCGGCGATAGAGCTCGTAATGCCGACTGTGAGTCTGCTCTCTCAGATCCTCCATGTTCACTCTTATCAGCATCTCACGCAACTTTACAAAGTCACAGTGGTTTTCATTTTCAACTAGAAAATAAATAATACATGAGAGGAGCGATATATTTCCAACAATGTAAATCAAAAGATGCAATGGAAATCTACCCCATTCCTCCGCTCCTTTCCCACTCCTTTGTGTGCTTTTCTGATACATAAAGCCCTGAAAAAATTAGTCTTAATTGGTTGTCATGGTGTCACCATCACTCCAAGGGATTTTCCTAAGTAATGCACATCCACTGTCTGAGGGATTATGACAGAAATGCTATAAAGTAGATTAGCATTCCTATTTTATAGCATTGTAAATTGCAGGCAGTCCCCAAGTTATGAACAAGGTAGGTTCTGTAGCTTTGTTCTTAAGTTGACTTCATATGTATGTGGCGCAATTAGCTAGGAGTCAGCTGCATTAAATCACCACTGACAGAAAGGTAATGACTTCGAAGCCAAGATTGGAGTAAGCTCCCGACCATTTATCTAGCTTGCTGTCGACATTTGCAGCCTGAAAGACAGTTGCATTTGCCAAGTATGAAATTTAGGTACTGCTTATGCGAGGATGCTAATTTAACTAATTTATGATGCCATAAACATTTCCAGCAGCGGGCAAAAGAATGAGAAAGTACTCCATCGAGGACTCAAATGGATGGTGAAGTGACAGCTCCCCCAGTGGCCGGAATTCACAAAGCATACCCTCATGAAGCTGGAAAGTTAAATAGCCTCTGTGTGTCTGTCTATATATGTTGTATGTCTATGGCATTGAATGTTTGCCATGTATATGTGCATTGTGATCCGCCCTGAGTCCCCTGCGGGGTGAGAAGGGCAGAATACAAATGTGGTAAATCTATATAAATAAAAATGTAATGTTCCTTTGTGGGATTAACAGAACTCAAAAACCACTGGACAAATTGTCACCAAATTTGACACAAGACACCTAACAACCCAATGTATGTCCTTCACTCAAAAAATTGATTTTGTCATTTGGGAGTTGTAGTTGCTGTGATTTATAGTTCACCTACAATCAGCATTCTGAACCCCACCAACGTTGGAATTGAACCAAACTTGGCACACAGTTCTCCTATGACCAACAGAAAATACTGGAAGGGTTTGGTGGGCATTGACCTTGAGTTTGAGAGTTGTAGTTCACCTATATCCAGAGTGCACTGTAGACTCAAACAATGATGGATCTGGACCAAACTTGGCACAAATACTCAATATGCCCAAATGTGAACCCTGGTGGAGTTTGGGGAAAATAGACCTTGACATTTGGGAGTTGTAGATGGTGAGATTTATAGTTCTCCTACAATCAGAGAGCATTCTGAACCCCACCAACGACAGAATTGGGCCAAAATTCCCACAGAGAACCCCCATGACCAACAGAAAATACTGTGTTTTCCTGGTGGTCTTTGGCGATCCCTCTGACACCCCCTCCTGACCCACCCAGGGGTCCCGACCCCCAGGTTGAGAAACACTGCAACTTTGTGGTGGGAAACCCAAGGGCCCTTTAGCTGAGGCAGCCCCGGCGTCCCGTTGGGCATACAGAAAGCATGTCCTGCAAATAGACATTGCCACAGGCCCAGCGTGTGACAGCAAACTATTGGACCTTCCTATTCCATACAGTCCTTATCTGCTGGGCAAAGTTTCTCCTTCTTTTAGGAAGGTCAAAACAATAGGAGGGGGTTCAGCTGCAAACTCTAATTTTCACTAGCACAGTTTTCTCAGCGGCAGCAGCAACACACTGGGCTGCGAAAGCAATCTTGGGGTCTGTGTGAAGCCTGCAGGTTTAGTGCTGCCCACCCAAGTTTTATAGAGAAAGGGGTCTAAGTTTATTCCGCCTCCATCTCCCAGCAATAGATCTCCACCCAATTTGAAATCCACAGTGCTGTGGTTGCGAAAACATTCAAGCCCATAATATTTTACAGATTGGAAGCTGAAGCAGACCACTAATGGATTGCTTATGGACACTGAAATTCAGTATAGTTGTAAACAATAAAGCAGAACTCCAATTACTTCCACAGACCTAGGCCCCTTAAGCCTGGATCTGACTTGAGATCTAGTTAGATACAAAGTCCAAGGATTTCTTCTGCAGGAAGAGTATCCAGTGGGCACCCAAAATTGAACTTCTTTTCATTACTTTCATTTATCTTGGAGCATAAATATTTCAGCACTGAGTTATATGAAATGCAAAGATGCAGAATGGGGGACTCCTGGCTTGAAAACAGTACATGTGAAAAAGATCTTGGAGTCCTTGTGGACAACAAGTTAAACATGAGCCAACAATGTGATGCTGCAGCTAAAAAAGTCAATGGGATTTTGGCCTGCATCAATAGGAGTACAGTGTTTAGATCCAGGGACGTCATGCTACTCCTCTATTCTGCCTTGCTTAGATCACACCTGGAATACTGTTTCCAATTCTGGGCACCACAACTGAAGAGAGATACTGACAAGCTGGAATGCGTCCAGAGGAGGGCGACTAAAATGGTCAAGGGTCTGGAGCACAAGCCCTATGAAGTGCAGCTTAAAGAGCTCGGATGTTTAACCTGCAGAAGAGGAGACATGATAGCCATATCTAAATATGTGAGGAGAAGTCATCATGAGGAGGGAGCAAGCTTATTTTCGGCTGCCTTGAAGACTAGGACGCGGAGCAATGGCTTCAAACGACAGAAAACAAGATTCCACCTGAACATTAGGAAGAACTTCCTGACTGAGAGCTGTTCAACAGTGGAACTTTCTGCGCTGGAGTGTGGTGGAGACTCCTTCTTTGGAGGCTTTTAAACAGAGGCTGGATCCCCATCTGTCAGGGGTACTTTGAACACGATTGTCCTGCTTCTAGGATTGGACTGGATGGCCCATGAGGTCTCTTCCAACTCTATGATTCTATGATTCTATTTGTTGGAGCATGCAAGGGATCAGTTAATGTGTGTGTCAACTGTAAAATAAGATGCATGATGCTGATTGGGCGGGCAATGCCTGGGAAACAGGCTGAGCCTGGAACTTTTGGATACTGTTACATATTAGTTCAGGCTTAAGCTATTCATGTGCACGGAGAGAAGAAGATAGGAGAAAGAGACAAGAGTTTGGAGTGTGCTCTTGCTTCATGTGCTGCTGAAGGAGTTTATCTACATGGACAGAGAAAGACCATTTTAAATCTCTCATAAAAGGACATTATGTGAGTTGATGCTACCAATCACATTGTACATATGTTGTTCTGAACTGTGAAGAGTACACTACTTGTTCTTTATTGTTCACCTGCATGGTATATTTTCTTTCTCTGGCAAGGCTGTGTGTGGGCTGATCAAACGTGAACTACATGTGGTTTATTTTACATTACGCACACACTAATTTCATTCACTGAAATGTATGATGAAGCTCATTCACTGAAATGCATGAGAAGCATCCATATGTCCACAAGAGCACACATGGAAATCTGCACCAAAATTTACTAAGAAGCAGGAAAATTGCATTCAAAGCATCCCATACAGATGGCCATCCAGCCTCTGTTTAAAAGCCTCCAAAGAAGAAGCCTCCACCACCTCCAGGGCAGAGAGTTCCACTGCTGAACAGATCTCACAGTTAGGAAGTTCTTCCTAATGTTCAGGTGGAATCTCCTTTTTTGTAGTTTGAAGCCATTGTTCTGCGTCTTAGTCTCCAGGGCAGCAGAAAACAAGCTTGCTACCTCCTCCATATGACTTCAAAGCCTTCAAAGAAGGAGCCTCCAACACACTCCAGGGCAGAGAGTTCCACTGCTGAACAGCTCTCACAGTCAGGAAATTCTTCCTAATGTTCAGGTGGAATCTCCTTTTTTGTAGTTTGAAGCCATTGTTTCGCATCCTAGTCTCCAGGGCAGCAGAAAACAAGCTTGCTCCCTCCTCCCTATGACTTCAAAGCCTCCAAAGAAGGAGCTTCCACCTTCTTTGGAGGCTTTTAAACAAGAGGCTAGATGGTCATCTGTCGGGCGTGCTTTGAGTGTAATTTTCCTGCTTCTTGGCAAAGGGTTGGACTGGATGGCCCACAAGGTCTCTTCTAACTCCATGATTCAATATAGAGAACATAGCCACCAGCCTCTCCAGAAGAACAGCAGTGATGAACACAGCATGGGCAACCATTTTTTACAACCAGATGGAGCTTCAAATCAGTTTGCAATACACCTGCTGATTAAGGGAGAAAGAGCCCATGGCAAGCTCTCAGTGTGTTTGGCTCTTTGGGTCCTAGCCATCCATTTCAATGCTTCTCGTTTTGTTTCGTTTTGTTTTCTCTCTCCGTCATTTCCTTAAATAAAGTGGCTATACGGCATTTACCCATCACTTTGATTTGGGTACACAGAACATTTTTCTCCATACTGATTTAAAAACATTGAACAAGCAGAGTTGTTCATTTTCCAAACACCCCTCCCACCACCACTGGCATACCCTGAACGACACCCCACGGATACTGTCTGGCTTTGGCCATCTTGTTGCCAATCTTCACTTCTTCGGTGCTGCCAACAACAGCAAATGGGAGATGGACCTGCAATGCAAGAGACGGAGAAAGATCACGGGTGTCCTCTGTTCTTCTGCCAAACATTTTTCCTATTCAAAAGGGTGGGGGGCAAGGAGAAAGAGTGCATTTAATGACAACTGTACTGCCTTTTGCCGATCTGAAATTATTCAAGTGTCTCTGGCATACCGCTTAAGTCTTTGAATCAACGACAAGTTGGGTGTCAGATCAAAACAATCTCCTTCCCTAGGAATATATTATAACCATAAGATTTGCATTATGCAATCACATTTGCCTACACTTCATTATAACTCTATTGTTGCCCACTTGCTTGACATGTAGAAGGGTAAAAAGCAATGCAGAATATTGAAAGCATGTTCCCACCCACTGAAAGCTTCACTTGGCTTCTTCTGGCAATTCTACAGTCATTTGATGCATCTCTGCCTACTTTTGAAAGTGAAGATATTTTAAAATTCTATATGCCATGCTTTCTTCCCAAAGAACCATGCCATACATACAGTCTGCTTAAAAAAACTATTCAAAGGGCCCATTTACATGTAACATCTACCACAGAAAATAGTCACTGAAATTTTGCATCTTCTGGTTTTTATATTTAGCACTGAAGGACCTAGACAAGACCCTGAAATGTCCCTGGACAAAGTGGTCCCTGGTCAAAGTGGTCCCTGGTCAAAGTGATCCCTGGACAAAGTGATCCCTGGACAAAGTGGTCCCTGGACAAAGTGGTCTCTGGTCAAAGTGGTCCCTGGACAAAGTGGTCCCTGGACAAAGTGGTCCCTGGTCAAAGTGGTCCCTGGACAAAGTGGTCCCTGGTCAAAGTGGTCCCTGGTCAAAATGGTCCCTGGACAAAGTGGTCCCTGGTCAAAGGTCCCTGGTCAAAGTGGTCCCTGGTCAAGTGGTCCCTGGACAAAGTGGTCCCTGGTCAAAGTGGTCCCTGGTCAAAGTGGTCCCTGGTCAATGTGGTTCCTGATCAAAGTGGTCCCTGGTCAACATGGTCCCTGGTCAAAGTGGTCCCTGGTCAAAGTGGTCCCTGGTCAAAGTGGTCCCTGGTCAAAGTGGGCCTGGTCAAAGTGGCCTGGTCAAAGTGAATCCTGGTCAAAGTGGGCCCTGGTCAAAGTGGGTCCTGGTCAAAGTGGGTCCTGGTCAAAGTGGATCCTGGTCAAAGTGGGCCCTGGTCAAAGTGGGTCCTGGTCAAAGTGGGTCCTGGTCAAAGTGGATCCTGGTCAAAGTGGGCCCTGGTCAAAGTGGTCCCTGGTCAAAATATTGGTCCCTGGTAAATATACGTCATTGAATACTAAAATTAGGACTGTCCGTGACATCATATTTCCCATTTCTATGCATGGCTGTGAAAGCTGGACAGCAGAGAAAACTGCAAGGAAGAAAATCAAGTCATTTGAAATGTGAAGCTTGAGAAGAGTTCTACAGATACTGTGGACTGCTAAAAAGACAAATCAATGAGTCTCAAACCAAACCAAGCCTGAGGGCTCTCTAAAAGCCAAGGTAATCAAAGTGAGATTGTCATACTCTGGCCATATTATTTGAGGACACAACTCACTAGAAAAGACAATAATGCTTGGTGAGGAGCCACGGTGGTGCAATGGGTTAAACACTTGTGTTGCTGAACTGCTGACTTGAAGAGTGGCAGTTCGATTCACAGGACAAGGTGAGCTCTCACTGTTAGCCCTAGCGCTTGCCAATCTTGTAGCTCAAAAACATGCAAATGTGAGTAGATAAATAGGTACCGCTTTGGCAGGAGAAGTCAAAAAGACACTCCAAGCAGTCATGCCGGCCGCACGACCAAGAGGTGTCTTCGGACAATGCAGGCTCCTTGGCTTGGAAATGAAAAAGAGCTCCTTCCCAAGAACCGGAGATAAACACCACATCCAGAGCCAGAAATGAAAGGAGAAGCCTTTGCCTTTGTCTGTGTATTTATCCCTCATTGTATGTCATGGCATTGAATGTTTGCCTGTGTCTGTTTATATGCTGTAATCCACTCGGGAGGAAGGGTGGAATGTACATAACGTGTTGTTGTTGTTGCTGCTGTTATGTTATTATATAAGGTAGAGGGGAGTATGAAAAGAGGAAGATCACATTCCAGGTCGATAGATTCAATCAAGGCCTGAGCAAGGCTGTTGATGGTTGATGAGCTGGGGCCCTCTCATTCATTGATTTACGTCATTTATTTAAATCACCTTTATCCCGCCCATATCAGCCCAAAGATGACTCTGGGCAGCGTACAAATTGGCACAATTAGATGCCATATAAAATACATACATTGGTTAAAAGCAAAAAAAAAATCATATTACAATACATTTAAAAACCGTACAAGCAATAACAATAAAAATTATAAAAACTATGTCTTCTTGTTCAAATCCTCATATAAGTAAAAGGAGTTAGAACTATTTTTCTTCCATAGGACACACAATTAAATCTCAATTCTCCCCTGGACAAATTGCTGTATTAGAAATGTATCTGCTAATCAATACTTCTAAATTAATTTCCACAACCACCTGCCATTCCTTAAAACAAAAGGAGAACATCTGAATGGGGTGTATCAAAACACACAATAGCTGGAATAACGTTCTATCTTGGAAGGTAGTTTATATCTGACAGAAATGAATGGAGTGACGGAGTCAGAAATTACTCAGGGAAAGGAGTGGCCATTGAAGAACATGATGAGTCAGAGAGCTCAGCGCTCAGCATTTGCTTCTTCATTGTCCTGTGTGAGCACACGCTTGTGAAATTTTAAATACTGCAGGCCTTCAGGAAGAGTAAATGCTGACAAAGGCAAGGGAGTAGGGCAAAGCTGAATGGAAGGAAGTCGAGGCTCGACCATCTCCCCACCCCATTTTATTAGCTTTCACTAAAGGAGGAAGGAAAAGGGGGCGTAATAAAAAGGGGCAGGCAATGTGTTTTCATTCCAAGGCCTCCACCCCTATATTAGCAAGCCAGCCACTGGACACTCGAAAGGAAGAATTTTTAGGTGCTCTTTCCAAAAATATCAACAATGCTAATTTGATCAAGGATAGCAAAAGTATGTATTTGGGAATGGGAGAGAAAACTGTATCATACACATATGTGCATCACCCAGACACACAGCTATTAAAAGGAGGAAAGAGCTGCAGAAGGGTTGTTGTAGGTTTTTTCGGGCTATATGGCCATGGTATAGAGGCATTCTCTCCTGACGTTTCGCCTGCATCTATGGCAAGCATCCTCAGAGGTAGTGAGGTCTGTTGAAACTAGGAAAAAGGGTTTATATATCTGTGGAATGACCAGGGTGGGACAAAGGACTCTTGTCTGTTGGAGCTAGGTGTGAATGTTTCAACTGACCACCTTGATTAGCATTTGATGGCCTGGCAGTGCCTGGGGCAATCTTTTGTTGAGAGGTGATTAGATGTGCCTGATTGTTTTCCCTCTGTTGTTTTGCTGTTGTAATTTTAGAGTTTTTTAATACTGGTAGCCAGATTTTGTTCATTTTCATGGTTTTCCCCTTTCTGTTGAAATAGCAGAGGGAAAACAATCAGGGACATCTAATCAACTCTCAACAAAAGATTGCTCCAGGCACTGCCAGGCCATCAAATGCTAATCAAGGTGCTCAGTTGAAACATTCACACCTAGCTCCAGCAGACAAGAGTCCTTTGTCCCACCCTGGTCATTCCACAGATATATAAACCCTTTTTCCTAGTTCCAACAGACCTCACTACCTCTGAGGATGCTTGCCATAGATGCAGGCAAAACGTCAGGAGAGAATGCCTCTAGAACATGGCCATATAGCCCGAAAAAAAACCTACAACAATCTAGGAGTTATAGTTGAAAACAGAATAACATTTCCAAAGTCTGGTCTGAACAAGTTTATCTCAGACAGAAAGAGGATGTTTGTCCATCCTGAAACATAGTCTAGTTCAGTGGTTCCCAAACTGTAGCTTGTGGACCACCAGTGGACCGCAAGAATGAAAATATGGTCTGCGGCCTCACCATTACTACACCGTTGCCTTGAAACCATGCGGCAACAAGAGCAACTGGTCTTGCAAAACACTCTTGCAGTGCTGAGGCAACGGGGATGTCGGGAGGGGAGAGGCTGACTACCCACGAAATATTACTACTACCACATCAGCTCTTGATTATTAAATATGGTTTTCTGTGGCTGAGCAGATGGCAACTACTGGATGGCATATGTTCTGTATCAGAAACTAGAGCTGATGTGGTCTAGCCAATGCAATTTTCTGAATCAGCACCCCAAATAACCAAACCAAATCTAAAGTTGACCAAAAACTGATTCGTAAGCCTTTTGGTACTAATGTTGCAAAGTGGTCCCTGGTCAAAGTGGTTCCTGGTCAAAGTGGTCCCTGGACAAGGTGGTCCCTGGTCAAAGTGGTCCTTGATCAACAAAGTGGTTCCTGGACAAAGTGGTCCCTGGTCAAAGTAGTCCTTGGTCAAAATGGTCCCTGGTCAAAGTGGTCCCTGGTCAAAGTAGTCCTTGGTCAAAATGGTCCTGGTCAAAGTGGTCCCTGGAAAGTGGTCCTTGGTCAAGCAGTCCTGGTCAAGTGTTCCCTGGTCAAGAGGTCTTTAGTCAAAGTGGTCCCTGGTCAAAGTGGTCCTTGGTCAAATGGTCCCTGGTCAAGTTCTTGGTCAAGCGTCCCTGGTCAAAGTGATCTCTGGTCAAAATGGTCCCTGGTCAAAGTGGTCCTGGTCAAAGTGGTCCCTGGTCATCCTGGTCAAGTGGTCCCTGGTCAAAGTGGTCTTAGTCAAGTGGTCCCTGGTCAAGTGGTCCCTGGTCAAAGTGGCCCTGGTCAAAGTGGTCCCTGGTCAAGTGGTCCCTGGTCAAAGTGGTCCCTGGTCAAACTGGTCCCTGGTCAAAGTGGTCCCTGGTCAAAATGGTCCCTGGTCAAAGTGTTCTTTGGTCAAGCAGTCTCTGGTCAAAATGGTCTCTGGTCAAATTGGTCCCTGGTCAAACTGGTCCTTGGTCAAGCAGTCCCTGGTCAAGTGATCCCTCCCTGGTCAAAGAGGTCTTTAGTCAAAGTGGTCCCTGGTCAAAGGTCCTTGGTCAAAATGGGCCCTGGTCAAAGTGTTCTTTGGTCAAGCAGTCTCTGGTCAAACTGGTCTCTGGTCAAATTGGTCCCTGGTCAAAGTGGCCCCTGGTCAAAATGGTCCCTGGTCAAAGTGTTCTTTGGTCAAGCAGTCTCTGGTCACAATGGTCTCTGGTCAAACTGGTCCCTGGTCAAAATGGTCCCTGGTAAAAGTGTTCTTTGGTCAAGCAGTCTCTGGTCAAACTGGTCTCTGGTCAAACTGGTCCCTGGTCAAAGTGGTCCTTGGTCAAGCAGTCCCTGGTCAAAGAGGTCTTTAGTCAAAGTGGTCCCTGGTCAAAGTGGTCCTTGGTCAAAATTGTCCCTGGTCAAAGTGTTCTTTGGTCAAGCAGTCTCTGTTCAAACTGGTCTCTGGTCAAAGTGGTCCCTGGTCAAAATGGTCCCTGGTCAAAGTGTTCTTTGGTCAAGCAGTCTCTGGTCACAATGGTCTCTGGTCAAATTGGTCCTTGGTCAAAGTGGTCCCTGGTCAAAAAAGGTTGGGAACCACTGGTCTAGTAGATGGAACTCCACATTTGTAGATATAACTTTTGCAGATGTTATTCTTCACACATTTGACTAATACGTTCTTGATTAATATGTCCCAAGTCAATATGTCCTCATTTTTCCTTTTGTTTTAGGGTTATTTCAATAAGACTACTTCAAGCATCTCCCCTTCTCCTTAACTGCCCTCATTCATATTTGCTTCAGAAGTTCACACTGAACAAGGAAGAAGGCATGAGCCACTAAGGAACCGAGCACTCTTCAGTCCTTGTTCAATTTTAAACCATACACATACTCATACAAATGCAGATGCCTGGCCAAAAAACAAACTCCATTTCCTCCTGTATATATTATGCTTCAAGCCAAAACCTCAAAACCACTTTGGAGCTTTTGGAATTTACCAATAAACAGCAGTCGAGTCTTTGCCTAAAAAAGAAATGCCTAGCCCAGGCTTCTGAGCCATAAAAGACACATTTGGGGCTCTTCCCCAACCAGGATATTATATGTTCAGAGACAAGAGCCAGAGCCAAGAGGAAGCCAGGTCTGTGCTTTTGTCCCCCGGGAGCCATCCAGGTGGTGTTTTTATTATTCTGTGTGCAATTCGGAGGGGCCGGTTCACATTTTGGGGCAAAACTGGAGGCTACGCTGAGTTCTGGGAAATGGGCCAAAGACTGGGCAGTTGGGTGGAGAGCAACTGTCACTTATAGGCCACGGGACAGCTGCAGTTATGACATTTCTGTGGCCAAAACCACTGACAATAATATTTCCTCCCCTTTGTCTGCTTCCCACTTCCAATAGAGATAGGAGTGCCAACCTCGGTTCAACTTCCAGTCCACAGCTTGACAATAGTAAGGCATAACTGATTCAGATCAATCCCAAAAACACACTCCTAAGACCATCTAATTCAGTTTAGTCATGTTTTCATACATCTGACCTATTCTCCCACAATCAACATGGGTGATGATCCAGGATAGAAAAGAATTTCCCACTCCTTATTCAGTGGCAAAATGGCAATTCTAATGCACCCCAATGAGCAAGCCTTCACCAGATGGCCAAACACCCTCAGTTCTCTTGCTTCAACTGGTAAGGCGTTTTTTGAACCACGTATCAAGTGAGCACATGGTAACACGTGTGGGGAGATGGCCATCTGTTTGGGCTCATTGGGAGTCGAGGATAAAGGCAAGTAATGACTTTTCTGAACTTGTTACCTAATTTGTGTGCATGAGATGCCACTTCATATGGAGATCCCATCTATATAAATAAAAATGTAATGTTGCGTTTGTGGGATTAACATAACTCAAAAACCACTGGATGAATTGCCGCCAAATTTGACCACAAGACACCTACTAACCCAAGGAATGACCATCACTCAAAAAATGATTTTGTCATTTGGGAGTTGTAGTTGCTGGGATTTATAGTTTATCTACAATCAAAGAGCATTCTGAACTTCACCAATGATGGAACTGAACCAAACGTGGCATGACCAACAGAAAATACTGGAAGGGTTTGGTGGGCATTGACCTTGAGTTTGGGAGTTGTGGTTCACCTACATCCAGAGAGCACTGTGGACTCAATGATGAATCTGGACCAAACTTGGCACGAATATTTCATATCCCCAAATATGAACACAGATGGAGTTTGGGGGGAATAGACCTTGGCATTTGGGAGTTGTAGTTACCCGGATTTATAGTTCACCTACAATCAAAGAGCATTCTGAACCCCACGAACAACAGAATTGGGGCAAACTTCCCACACAGAACCCCCATGACCAACAGAAAATACTTAAGGCCATCCAGTCCAACTCCCCTCACCAGGGCAAGAAAACATAATCAAAGCCCTCCTGACAAAGAGCCATCCAGCCATAAATATAGATATATATGATTCACACACAGAGAGATATAGTATCATAGATTTGAAAGGGACCCCTAAAGAAGGACAATTATATGTTGCATGTTCCAGAGTAGGCAAACCAGACACTCGCCACATCAACACTGACAAAGAAACAGCAAGAAATACTATTTACCCACAAGCATAAAGAAATTACATATATTAGAAACCAACACTTTCTCATTACTTTATTTTCCAGATCACAGACTGGGCTACAGCAACGCGTGGCAGGGGACGGCTAGTCATGATTAAATTTACTGTGTGTATGTAACAGGATTTTGTCGCACCTGAAAGAATGAAGTCGGTAGCTGAAGCTTTCGCAGCGACTACACTGTAGAATTAATGCAGTTTGACACCACTTTAAATGCCATGGTTCAATGTTATGAAATCTGGGGAGTTGTAATTGCGCATGGCACCAGTTCTCTTGAGTAGAGAAGGTTAAAGACCTTGTAAAACTACAACTCTCACAACTCAATAGTATTGACCAATGGCAGTTAAAGTGGTGTTAAACTGCATTGATTCCATATTGTAGATGAACTACTTGTATCTGAGGAAGTAGACTTAAATCTACAAAAGCTTATTCTACTAATTTTGTTCTCTCCATCTCTAAAGTACAACAATATCCCTTTGCATACTGATATTTCAGATTAGTGTACATCTATCTTTCAATTAAGATAGATGGGTGGGTTCAACCCCTGTGCCGGCAGGACTGAAGACCGACAAGTTGCAGATTTGAATCCGGGGAGAGGCAGATGAGCTCCCTCTATCAGCTCCAGCTCCTCATGCGGGGACATGAGAGAAGCCTACCACAAGGATGATAAAACATCAAAATCATCCGGCGTCCCCTGGGCAACCTCCTTGCAGACAGCCAATTCTCTCACACCAGAAGTGACTTGCAGTTTCTCAGGTCGCTCCTGACATGACCAAAAAAAATCTTTCAATTTTATGATGTGTATGCTGGCTTTGCTTGCATCTAAGCCTAAAGAGCGACACCATGCTCTTCTAAGAATATAGAGGCATAAAGAAAATAGTACTTACACTCATAGTAGCATTAATTTCAGCCACCGTTTCTTCATCTGTTGGGAATTGATAGATCTGGACACCGTTGCTGACCAGCTCACTCATGATTTTGCTCTTGAATTTATGCAGCTCATTTTTTGCAATGGTATCAGCTTTGGCTATTATTGGGATAATGTTCACCTGCAATGTAAACAGAATACGGTCATCAGGCTGCATTAGTGGGTTGTGGTGGGAAGGAGAAAATAGAAGGACAGACAGAAGAAAAATGTGGATTTGGTCCGAATGTCTCTGAAACAAGCTAGACAAAGCGAGAGCAAATATTTCCCCTTCTATCAGAAGTTCTTTTTTAACTCTATATAATAATGTAGAAGTGTGATCTTACTTTGGCAAGACAACACTTCTAGGCATTTAAGTACTCTGATCGTATTCATACACAGACATACACACACTTTACTGTAATCCTTACAACAACACTATTACTCTTAAGTTATTAGGAGGCAGGAGCACTGAATTGAAGGCTTAATGAAGAAAAGTAAGTGAATTAAAGGATCGGGACACAGGGCAACAGGAGGCAGTATAAATGCACAGCTTGGCCCCCAATGTGTGCTGACATCTTTCCCCACTACTGTCAATTGAGCCTGAGAGCAACTTGTATCGCTACTGAGTTAGAATGGAAAGGTGCCCAGCATATGGTTTGGCACAGAGGGCTGTTCATACTGTAATCTTGTGCTCTGGAGCTCGTCAAGGAAGAATTATAGTTCTTTGCTTTCAACAGAGCTATATAGGGAACATACCCATGAATCAGGCCCAAAGTTCTCTCTGTTGCACTGTATGGCACAAATAGTTGGCCATCCTCAATATCCTCTTTATTACAATATTTTATTTGTTGCTGTTTTATGTCTTCAAGTCATTTCAGACTTGGTCACGTATTTGGTTTTCGTGGCCAAATGGAGATTCTAACCCTGGTGCACCACATACCCAATGCAACACTCAAACCACAACACCAATGGCTCTGAAATATTTCTTCTCCTCCCTGTATCATAAGATCTCAAGGCAGGGTACTAATAAAAAATATAGGAACAGTTACATCAAGCTAAGTAGTCATTGTGGTGTAGTGGTTTAAGTAATAGCTGTGTAAATTTATGTTGTCATTGTTTTCCATACTGTATTATATATTTTATGTGTGCGGCACCTTGGAATGCTTTTGGGGGTGCCTCCAGGGAGATGGTGGTGAGATAATAAAGTTTATAATTGTGTGTGTGTGTGTGTGGGGGGGACTATGACTCCAGAAACCAAGGTTTAAATCCTTATTCAGCCATGAACCCCACTGGATGAATCTGGGCAGGTCACACTCTCAACTCCAAACGAAGGTCATGGCAAACTGCCTCCAAAGAAACCGTTCCAAGAAATTCCTGCTATAGGTTTGCCTTGGGTCACTATAGGCCAGAAATAACAACCACCTTCACCCTAGTTCACAATAGGTTGCCTCTGCTTTTGATTATTATTCATACACAGCAAATATGTATTTTGGATTGTCTCATCATAAGGCTTTTGTTGTAAAAGATCTTCAAAAGGAAGTTTACAATGCATCCCGCTGCACAGTGCTAACAACTATTAGCTATAGGGCCACTGCCGTTGTCTCCAAAACATTCCCCACCAGTATAGCCCCGTTTGCCATCACAGCACTACTCATATTTATCCTCTGCTGTATCCTAGAAGCTTGCTGAATGGCTTCCAATTTTGCAGTCTCGCCATCTGGCACTATTTCTTCTTTCCTTTTGGATGGTCTCATCACAATAAAAGACATTGAGAAAGGGTTTAGCATGCATCCTTCCGCCTAGTACTAACAAGTGTTAGCTATGACAAGATGACTCTGGAAACCAGGGTTCAAATCCCACTGGGTGACCCTGGTAAGTCACACTCTCTCAGCCTCAGAGGGAAGGAAAGGCAATGTCATTGTGAACTAAATTCAATTATAGGCTCACCTTGGGGTTACCATAAGTTGGAAACAATTTGAATGCACATAATAGCAACAAACTCACCCAAAGTTAGTTTTCTCTTCTACTTAATACAACTTGGCATTTTTTATTATCCATAAAAATGCCAAGTTGACTGATCTAATGATGCTAGTTTCAGACATTTAAACGATCTGCTTTGTTCATGGTGAACTTTGTAAAGACTGCCTTTCAAGGTGATGGGATTTTGGTTATTAAAAAACAGCAGTGCATGAAGATTTGAATGAAAATTTGAAACCTTTCCAAAGTTATCTTTTCATTTCAAGCTTTGCCAAACCTTCTTTTTAAAAAAGAATTAGCATTACTGACAGGGGGAAAAAAACTCCCAGGGTTCATTCATTTGCATTTCGCTGTACAGGAGATAGCCTTAAATAGAAGTCACACATAGAGAAGTTACTGCTTCCTTTCCTTTCTACAGAGCCTGTGAACAGGAAATACCACATGCCATACAGGTTACGACAACGATTTCAAAGAAAAGTGATAAGAGTCATCGTGAATGTGACCTCTGTGACCACTTGCACAGATGAGAATGTGTCCTTGAGCTTTTTGGGTGCAATTTGTAGATATGCGTAAATCTGAGGTAGTAAATGGGAAAAAAAATTTCAGTCTGGAAACTTCAGTGGAAACTCAGGGCCCTTTCAGACAAGCCCTATATCCCAGGACCTGATCCCGGGTTTTCTACTTTAAACTGGATTATGTGAGTCCGCACTGACAGATAATATGGGATAAACAGAAAACCTGGGATTGGGTCCTGGGAGGGCCCTCAGTCACCTCTCTTGGATGAAACAATAAAATATGATGCATTACTATGTGAATTTGTGAATAGTGAATCTATATAAATAAAAATGTAATGTTCGTTTGTGGGATTAACATAACTCCAAAACCACTGGACGAATTGACACCAAATTTGGACACAAGACACCTAACAACCCAATGTATGTCCTTCACTCAAAAAAATTGATTTTGCCATTTGGGAGTTGTAGTTGCTGGGATTTATAGTTCACCTACAATCAAAGAGCATTCTGAACCCCAACAATGATGGAATTGAACCAAACTTGGCACACAGTTCTCCCATGACCAACAAAATACTGGAAGGGTTTGGTGGGCAGTGTCCTTTGGTTTTGGAGTTGTAGTTCACCTACATCCAGAGAGCACTGTGGACTCAAACAATGATGGATCTGGACCAAACTCTACACGAATACTCAGTATGCCCAAATGTGAACACTGGTGGAGTTTGGGGAAAATAGAATCTTGACATTTGGGAGTTGTAGTTGCTGGGATTTATAGTTCACCTACAATCACAGAGCATTCTGAACCCCACCAACGATAGAATTGGGCCAAACCTCCCACACAGAACCCCCATGTGGGCCACAGCAATGCGTGGCAGGGGACGGCTAGTAAATAAATAAATAGTGAATAAAACAGTGAAGAGTAGAGACACCACACTGGCAACGAAGATCCGCATAGTTAAAGCAATGGTATTCCCCATAGTCACCTACGGATGTGAGAGCTGGACCATGCCCAGCATTTATTTTTAAAATTTTAACTATTACATCTGGCCCAGCCATAGGTTTTTAAATCTTTGTGTGTTATTGTCTATATGCGAGTTATATTAATGGTATTGTTTATTTGCTTATTGTTTGTTATTTTTACTGATGTGTTGTTGACTTTGGCCTCATGTAAGCTGCTCTGAGTCCCTTGGGGAGATGGTGGTGGGGTATAAGTAAAGTTATTATTATTATTATTGGGAAGGCTGAGCGAAGGACGATAGATGCTTTTGAACTGTGGTGTTGGAGGAAAATTCTGAGAGTGCCTTGGACTGCGAGAAGATCCAACCAGTCCATACTCCAGGAAATAAAGCCTGACTGCTCATTGGAGGGAAGGATATTAGAGGCAAAGATGAAGTACTTTGGCCACATCATGAGAAGAAAGGAAAGCTTAGAGAAGACAATGATGCTGGGGGAAATGGAAGGAAAAAGGAAGAGGGGCCGACCAAGGGCAAGATGGATGGATGGATCCTTGAAGTGACTGGATTGGCCTTGAAGGAGCTGGGGGTGGTGACGGCTGACAGGGAGCTCTGGCATGGGCTCGTCCATGAGGTCACGAAGAGTCAGAAATGAATGAACAACAAACAACAGACTATGTGAATGGAGTTATCCAGCATAGTGTAATAGTTAGTTTGCCAGAATTTGGACTCTGGACACACAGATCGATTTTTGTCAGAAGATGAGGTCAAAATTATCCTGATCTAGCTATCTAGACCATCACAAAGCCTCAGGATACTCCAGAGTTTCCTCAAACCACGGAGTATCCTCTGACTTTAGCTAAAGTATTTCAAAGCCAAATTAAAGCCAGAAAATCTGAAATACTGGTCAGAAGGTGGCCAATGGTGGTTTGGAGTTCAGTATCATTTGATTTTGTATTATATTTGGATCCCAAAATGAAATTAATCTTAACCATGGGATATTGAAACAAGTCAGCAACATAAACAAAGAATAAGCCATTAGTCAAAGTCTGTCTGAGTCTGGACATAATGATAAACTACGGTTAGTTAACAACATAAGCAAAGGCTTCTTGTTTCATCATGACCACATACATGGTCTATGAGGAAAAACATGAGTTTGAAGCTTCCATGAGTTTGCTTACATCATGGCAAACCACAGTTTTTCATTACGATAGGAGAAAGCAAAAAGGTATCTTTTGGTAAACACATATTAAATAATCTTTAGATTAATATCCCTGATATAAAAAGTAAAGCACGGGGACTGTGGCGCAGCTGGCTGTGAGTCAGCTGCATTAAGATCAGTACTGACCAAAAGGTCATGAGTTCGAAGCCAGCCCGGGTTGGAATGAGCTTCCGACCAATTTGTGTAGCTTGCTGTCGACCTTTGCAGCCCGAAAGACAATTGCATCTGTCAAATAGGAAATTCAGGTACCACTTATATGGGGGAGGTTAATTTAACTAATTTACGAGGCCATAAAAATCTCCAGCAAGCATGCAAAGAATGAGGAAGTACTTTATCAGTGTCACAAATGGACGGTGAAGCAACAGCTCCCCTGGTGGCCAGAATACCCTCATGGAAAGCTGAAATGTTAAATAGCCTCAGAGTGTCTGTCTATATATGTTGTGTGTCTATGGCATTGAACGTCTGCCATGTATATGTA